TGAGAGAGATTCTAGTGTGGCTCCTGGTTTGCCTGCCAATGATATAAAAAAAGATGATAACTGAAGCGGTTATTGACTTATATGAATCTCTTACTGCATCAGGTGATATCGCGTCGTCATCTGGTAACTCTGATTCTAATCTGCGCTCTTACTCATCTGTACTTAAATCTAAAAAGCCTATTGTAAACGTCGCGCACGGTCCTTCTCTCGAGGTTTCTAAGACCACTGGCATACTAATTGTACCTAGGAAAGAAATGAGTGATAAATTTGCAACTTCGAAGGACACTAAAATTGCGTTTCAGAATGCTATCAAGCCAGCTAACTTTAACCTTAAGGTTAATAAAATTGCACCTACAGGTAACAAGGGCGTACGTATTGCAGCGCATTCAGCTGACTTATCTAAGATAAAAGACTCTAATGAACTTAATAAAGTAAGATTAGAAATGAGGCTAATTACAAAATCTAATCCTTGTCTTATAATACGTGGTATTTCCTGTGAATTAACACTTGATGAATTGCGTGAAGAATTTATTGCACTAAACTTGAAAAATCACTAAACTTGAAAGTTACATCTGAAGTTAATATAATTTACATTTTTCCACCTAAGAATGGACGTAACAAAACTAGTTGCATTATTGAAGTTTCTCCACATATTCGCACCTTGTTACTACGTGAAAAGAATGTATATAAATTATTCAGCCTGCAGTTTTGAAGATTATGTGAATGTATTACAATGTTTCAAGTGTTTAGCGTTTGGACATCTTGCTAAAAACTGTAAGTCTTCCTTACTTTGCGGGTTCTGCGCAGAAGAACATGAAATGAAGAACTGCTCCAGAAAGCATGACAATGTTTTATGTGGCAACTGCAAACGTTGGATGCTAACTGTTGCACATCATTCTGCACTTGACGGTAAAAAGTGTCCGATCCTGAAGAAGCGTTTAGCTGACAGAATTAGAAATATCAATTATTGACAAGATAATTTATAAGAATAAGTTGAAGGCATGTCATGTGAATTGTCAGTCGTTAATGGCGCACCTGGATGAGTTTAAGAATTTCTTCGCTGACTCTCAATATGACATCATATGCCTTTCTGAAACCTGGCTCAAACCTGCTATATTGGACGTGTCAGTTTCTTTACCTGAATATAACTTTTTCAGATGTAATAGAGTTGGCAGGAAAGGTGGAGGTGTGGCTTTCTACCTTGCTTATCCTTGTCAAGCTAAGATCTTGAAAATGTNTGAAGGCGAATATAATAAAAAGCCTGAGTACTTGATTGCAGAATTATCTATAGCCACACAATCAAAGATCCTATTGGCTGTGGTTTACAGGCCACCTCATTGTGGTCATCTCAGAGACTTCTTCAATGTGTATACTGACTTATCAGTTCTCTATAAACATTGTTTTATTTTTGGTGACTNCAACGCAGATATGTGCTCTAATACATTTGAGTCTGAACAGATTCGCTCTTATATGAGAACTCATAATCTATTTCTCGCTCCGTTTTCTCCTACACACCANACGCAATCATCTTCAACGTTTTTAGATTTATGTCTGATTGACAATGCTGATAAACTTATTACCTTTAGTCAGCGTTACGTATGCTTTTTGTCCTCTCATGATTTAATTGAAATTGAGTACAATATCATTATTGAAAAGATACAAATAAGATCCATCACTATTAGAGATTTTAACTCTTTTGATAAGAATAAATTTTTAAATGATCTTTCCAGTCATGACTGGAATCAGCTTCTGAGTACCAATGATATCGATCAAAAGGTCAAACTATTTAATCAATATCTCTTAGCTAGTCTTGATGGAAATACGCCATTAAAAACCATTTATCCTTACATATGCCTGCGCCTTGGCTGAATACTGAAATTAAAACGCAAATGTTAGAGCGTGATAGAGCACGTAGAAAATGGAGGAGATGTAAGAGTGAAGCCAATTATGCGCTGTATAAAGCGTTAAGAAATAGAGTTCAAGTCATTGTACGTAGAGCTAAGGAAGAATATCACCTGGCTACTTTCTCTGGACTGAAGGATCCAAACTCTATTTGGAAAGAGCTCAGGAGACTCGGCCTCGTAAACACAAAATTGTCCAAATTTACACTTTTTTTTCTAAAAATGAACTGAATAAATTCTTTTCTACTCGCTTGCCATCATCTTTTATTGTGGATGAGACTTATGATATACTTGAGGATGAATCTTATTATGACGACGATAAGCTGTATTGGAGACATATTGATGTTCTGGATGTGATTAATGCCTTGGATAGGAACAAATCCAATGCTGTTGGTATAGATGGCATATCTCCGAAATTGATTTTTACAGCTCTGCCTTGTATTCTTCCTATTATCGTGCATTTATTCAATTTTAGCCTTAATCAAGGCGTTTTTCCAATTGTTTGGAAATCTGCAATTATCTGTCCTGTGCCTAAAACCAGGAATCCGTCTGAACTGCAACATTTTCGACCTATTCCTATCTTATGTGCAGTTTCTAAGGCGCTTGAAAGTATAGTAGTGACTCAGATGACGGAATTCTTGAAGAAGTCAAATGGACTGGACCCATTTTAAAATGCCTACAGACGAGGATATTCTACACAGACTGCTTTGATCAGAGTTATTGATGACATCAGATTTGCTGCTGACAAAAGAGAGATTACTGTCTCAGTGTTCTTTGATTTTTCGAAGGCCTTTGACTATGTAAATCATAAACTTTTATTAAAAAACCTCTATAATAAAAATTTTTCTGCTTCCACCCTACGTTGGCTGCATTCGTATCTCGAACATAGAGTGCAGTCTGTGCGTGATCCTGCTATTTACTCTCTTTCTGAAAATCAATTAGTTACGGCTGGCGTTCCTCAGAGATCTGTTCTTGGTCTTCTACTTTTTACTTTCTATGTATCTGATTTTGGAAATACTTTAAGGCATAGCAAGTACAGCTACTACGCAGATGACCTTCTCATCTACCTACATTGTACACCTGACTCCATTCATGAGGCTATTTGTCGCATTAATAAAGATATCTTCAATATCGAGGAGGCATTGAGAAACGGACTGGCATTAAATTCTAAGAAGACCTCTGCAGTTATCTTTGGATCGGCTAGATTCATCAATTGCCTTAAATCAAGTAACTTACCTAGTTTCATTGTGAACAACAACGTTTGAACGTAACTTACCTAGTTTCATTGTGAACAACAACATTGTGAACAATTCCTTTCATGGACTCGGTTGTATACCTCGGTGTTACTCTTACTAGTAAACTTTCGTGGGAGAGCCATGTAACTTCTATTGTTTCGCGTGTAAATATGACACTATACAGACTAAAAATCAATAAGCAATCCATTCCTTTGACTCTTCACATCAGATTAGTCTCTGGTCTCATCTGTCCGATCTTTGACTACTGTTGTTGTTTTCTCGGATTTAACCGCTGAACTTGACCTGCGTCTACAACGTGCTTTCAACTCGTGCATAAGATTTAGTTTTGATTTAAGAAAGGATGAACACATTACTCCGTTTTTCAACAAACTTATGTGGCTCAAAGTCAAAGCTAGAAGGCAGTATTTTATGTGTTGCTTCTTGTACAGCATAATACAAACTCAACGGCCACCTATTCTATACAGTGGATTGACATTCAGAAATGAGGAATCCTCTCGCCACACCAGGGCTTCTGAGGACATGCTGTTTCTACCCATCTGTAGGACTGAAATATTCAAACGATCTTTTAGATGCTATTCTGCTGAGTTGTGGAATAAACGGCAGACATACGCGCGATAACTAGTTTAGATATATTTAAGGCGAAGCTTCATAGTCATTTTATGAAGAACAATTAACTATTTTTGTCAATTAGCCTGTTATTTTATATTGTTATTTTATATTGTTTTTTGTTTATCATATTTTATTATTTCTTTTTTTCTCTTTTTTGTTTATATTTTATTATTATTTTTCTTAAGTTTTTCTTTTTTTCATATGCTCTAGATACTATATGATTATTGTAAATTATATTGTTATTTCTGCGCTTTAGGGGATGTTATCCCAGAGCGCGATACAAATAAAGCATTCATTCATTCATTCATTCATATTGGGAGGTCATAAGCCTCTCCGACTCCTTGCTAAGCCGGAACCTTCTCCTCCAGGGTCCTGACTCGCTCATCTACGAGCGCGGCAGGCCTGGCCAGCTCCGGCTTCGCTGCTTCTTCCGGCAGATAGGCGAAGGCAACAATGCCCTCGCCTAATCTTTTTATAGTTGCCGCCACGTCTTTCAGAATCTTCACGTATCTACCGTGAAGATTTTTGGACATGGTGGCAACTTTCATCACGGCCTCCGCGGCTGTGTTTGTCTTCTGCCCCATTTTCGCCGCGGAGGCAACCGAGCACGGGAGTCTGGAGGACGGCAGCTTAGCGGTGTCGCTCCAGCACTCGTCCCCCAGCTTTAGGGCCGCTTCCGCTCGACTTGCAGCCGAGGCTGCAACTATGCCGAGGAACTCGGCAGCGATCGGCAGTCTTCCCGTCCGTTTGATGCCCCCACTCGTGTTGGGGGCCTGTGTAGAGGCGTCCTTCTGCACCTCCCTGTCCGAATCCCCGAATGATGGTGAGGATTCGGACACGCCAGCGAAAGCTGGGGAGCGATAAAGCTCCCTCGCCAGCTTCTTCTTCCTGTTTCCCCCAGGAAGAGCGCCACCGGCGCTAACTCCAGTGGGGTAGACCGGCGCCCCAACCATTCGTCGCGCACCAAGCGCGAGAATGTCCGAACGCTTCTTTGCAGTCGAGGTTTCCGCCACTGCCCCTGCAGTGCAGGCAGTGGTTAGCCCATGGCGCGATGACGACATGGGGGTGTCTGGGACGGCAACACTCCCACGCCGGGCTCTGAGTGTCTGATCACTCTGGGCCGGTACGTCAATCTCTTCTACTGAGCTCATACCCATAGTTCTTAGAAGAGTGGTTTAATTTCAGAGTTTTCTTTCTCCTAGGCCGGCTGCCCACACAGGGCTAACGAGCCCGGGTGCGCTTTTGGTCTGGCCGCTCCCCGTGGACCTGTCCGGCAAGGGTGACCCTGCCAGAAACCGAAGTTCCCGCCGGCATAGCTGCACGGATCAGCACGGCACTCAAGCCCCTCCACCACGACAAGGTGGCGCACCCCCGGAGGGGATCTATTTATTTATCTGTGTGTGTGTGTATATATGTATATATGTATATATTTTCTGTTGCAGGACGAAGAGGAACAAGTGCAGGACGAATTAGGGCGGTTTGAAGAAATCGCGATCCCGGTAATCCTGGTTTATTGATAAAAAATATTATTTCAGTATAAACTGTAAGTATTATTGTTACATTTTGATGATTGTATTGTTTATAATAATAATATATGACTTTTTGTTTTTACTTATACAAAGTTCTTTTGTACGTACACCAACAGAGCTTCTTTTTCAACGATATATATATATATATATTCCTCAGTAGTTTGCACTAACTAATCACATTGTATATTTTCATTTTGCGCTAGACAATGGCCGTAGCCGTGTATACTATAAACTGTAAGTAGTATAACTGTAAGTCATTTGAATTAAATTATATATAACTTGCATTAAATTAATACTTTTTAAAGGTATTAAATTAATATCTTTTTTATGTATATATATGTATATATATATATATATTTATATATAAGCCGTAATATGGGCCATAACATAAGTCGTAGCGTAAAAGTATATATCTATATATACCAGTACGGTATTCGAACTATATTAAAGCTGAACTGTATATACGCCTAGTGTAAAGAGCGATTGCACTCAGAACGTTTCCCACGATATTCGGGCGTCACTCAGAGTCATGCGATGATATTGAAGCGTTACTTTAATAAGACAAAGAAAAGCCGAAACCTTTGTATTCTGCCGAGGCGAGAGATCCAAATTTATCGCGCTCTGTAGAGTTAAGCCAAAGCGAGGCGCTGCAACGTCGCTAACTAGTTATCTTATCTCATAAGAAAAATATAAGTCTTGTCGAGACAAGAAAAATAAGTTTATTTTATCATAGTGCGACATTCCTAAGTCGTGAGCTCGCCCTAGCCGTGAGTACGTTCCGTCTTCCACTACAGTAATTCCTTGGTTACATTCCCGGCTTTCTCTACCATCTCCTCAACTTGATTAGTTGACCGTCACCTCAAGCCCTGTTTCCATTAACCCCACTCCAAGCAAACGGAGCCGCGCCCTTAGTCTTAGCGCAGCGAGCAGTCAGTCCATATTCAAGACTGAAACTAGTAACAGTCTTTTCAGTCCATATTCAAGATTCAAACTAGTAACAGTCTTTTCAGTCCGTATTCAAAATTCAAACTAGTAACAGTTTTTTTAGTCCATATTCAAGATTTAAACTAGTAACAGTTTTCGGGACTGTACAAGCAAACCGAGCGTCTTGCTTGCAGTCCATATTCAAAAGTCAGAGCAATAACAATCTCTCAAGTCATACAAGAAAACCGAGTGTCTTGCTTTCAAATATTTTAAACGTTGAGTCCGGGCTCGCTCATCGTCCACGAAGTCTACAAGAATCGCTCTTAAACGTAAGCATAGTTCGACGAGTGTTATAAAAGTGTCTCTAGTAATTTTTGCGTTGTTAAGTCAAGTAGCGTAAAGAGATTAAATCTTATTTAGTTGATTTGTGTGTGAGTACCGTTCAGCGATAATTTAGATTTAGTGATTTTATCTGATTTTTGCGTCTTGATAATTTGTACTTTGCTTTTGGGAGTAATTAAACAGATTTAATTCAACTATCAGTGACTTCTTTTGTGAATTAAAATTAGTTTAATTCAGGTTACTCAGTCGTGTTTAACCTACCTGGGAAAAGGCGCTACCGTGTATTTTCTCCTCGAAAAAGGCGCCTA